GAGAGAGAGAGAGAGAGAGAGAGAGAGAGAGAGAGAGAGAGAGAGAGGTAGGTATCTCAGGGAAGGAGGAAGACCCTGGGTTTGTCAGGCGGCAAGGAAGCAAGGACGGTCGTGATGGAGCCTTTCCAGGGGGTTGCAGTTAGCTGGGTAACACAGACTCAGATAAAATTCAACATTGTCAATATGTTCCTGTATTCACTTTTTCAAATCTTTGCTATTATTGTGTTCATGCAAGTGTGCGATACGGGAGGGGCGCACGTGTGGAAGACAGCTTCGTGGAGCCGTTCTTTACGTAGGTTCTGAAGACCCAGCTCAGGCTGGGGGAACAAGTGTCCTCACCCACTGAGCCATCTCCAAGGCCCCTGTTCTGTATTTCCTTATTGCACTGGTCTAACAGCAATTGTGAGAATTATCTTTATTTTATTCAGATATTGTCTAAGTCTCTGTTTTCCTTTTCCTTTCTCTTCCCTCTCCCTTCTTCTCCTTCCCTCTCCCTCCTCTCCTTCCCTCCCTCCTTCCTCTCCTTTTCTCCCCCTCCCTCCTTTCCTCCCTCCCTTCCTCCATTCCTTCCTTTGTCTCTTTTTTCTTTCTTCTTCTTGTGCTCACTCTGTAAGACAGAATAGCCCTGAATTTGCAGTAATAGTTCTGTCTTAGCCTTCCAAGTCCCGAGATTATGGGCACAAGACCACCATGCCAGCTAAAACAAGGCTACTGAAGCACAGAAAAATTTCAGCATTTTCTTCAGTATTACAGGCAACTGTTTTGGTAGGGAACTTTTAGCCAGAACTCTCACTTTTGGTGATAAAACAATGGTGGGCATGCACTTGATGGCTGAGCTACATCCTGCTCTCAGCTAAGGAGCCTTAGCTACACAAAGATTAGTTTATAAATGATTTACTAGCTCGCAGGGGATGCGTGATTAAGTCCAAGTACTTAGGAGACATGGGCAGGCAGATCTCTGTGAACTCAGGGTCAATCTGGTCTACATAGCCTGCCCCAGGACAGCCGAGTTACATGGTAAGACCCCATTGCAAAGAAACAAAGACACAGCAGCAACAACAACAAAAAAAGTACCAAAAATATATTTGAGGGACTGGAGAGCTGGCTCAGGGGTTAAGAGCACTTGCTGCTCTTCCAGAGGTCCTGAGTTCAATTCCCAGGAACCATAGTGGCTCACAACCATCTATCAAGGGATTTGATTCATATACATAAAATATATAAATAGATCTTAAATATATATATATATATATATATATATATAGAGAGAGAGAGAGAGAGAGAGAGAGAGAGAGTTATCTTTGGTGATTACTAATTTTTGTTAATATTCTTCCAACAAAATTTTAATAACTGTGAAACATTTTGTATAGAGCAAATTAGTTAAAAAGGAGTTTTATAAGTGGCTTAGAAAAGTGAAATACAAGGCAACTAAGTTTTTTTCTTAACAGTACATTTAACAAGGATCAGAATATCTAAAATTCCTTTCTAAATCTTTTTCTAAAAGTTTTTTCCAAGTTAAAAATGCAAACAAATCCTAAACAGAGAAAAATTGATCTACTAAAAGAAAAATCTCATAAGTTCTAATTTTAAAAATCAAAACTTAACTAACTTTTAAATTTTGCAATTTATATAAATATTTTCCTTTATTTATTTATGTCTGAGTGTCTGTTTGGGAACTCCATGTGTACAGGAATTCTAAGAGGTCAGGAAAGGGCTTTGGGATCCCTGGAACTGGAGTTACAGGCAGCCAAGTGTCGATAGGAGCTAAGCCTGAGCCCACTACAAGAATACTTGTGTTTGCAGGCATAAAACTTCTAACTGAACTTGGTAAGTCATTTATAAAATAAAGAATTTGGCCAGGCCTGGTAGCATGTGCCTTGAACCCCAGCGTTTGGGAGGCTGAGGCAGGAAGATCTTTGAAGGTTTGCGTTCAGCCTTGGTCTGCATAGTGAGTTCCAGCCCAGAGCTACAAAGCAAGACCCTGTCTCAAGGCAGCAACAGTAACAGAAAAAACAAAATTTACATGCTCTCCTTGAGCAAAGGCCATGCCAGTCACCGCATTGCTCTAATTTTAACACGTGTGCAGCAGACTCGAACATGAGTAAATCATTTTATAGTGAAAACTGTTATACTGAAATCTTTAGTAATCCTGAAAAGGTTCCTTGCGCTGCTATCGGATGTCAGAATGAGTCACATAAGTGACGCACATGGAATGCCATAGGCAGGATTAGGGAGCGGGTATATGACATCGATCAGAACTAGAGATTATTTTTAGCAGACAAACGTTCCGACAGTCCCTGCTCTCTTCCTCTTCCAGAGAGCTACCCTTTCACAAGATCCCCTACGCTCCAGTGAAGACAGTCTCGTCAGTGGGACTCCAAAGCCATACAGGTGAGGCGCCCTGTGTGACAGACTCATGGGAGACTGTGCTCTGCTCGTCTCTTCTTCTAGCTCTGTGCTGTGCATATGTGTGAATTATGCATGTGTACGTGTGTGAGTGCATGCATATGCATGTGTGCGTGCACATGTCTGTGTGCATATGTGTGATGTGTATGACAGTGTGCATGTGTGAGTGTGTGCATGCATGCATGCATGTGTATGTGTGTGTGTGTGCGTGTACATTCTTGTGTGTGTGCACGTGTGTGCATGTGTGTGTGCATGAGTGCCTGCGTGGGCTCATGCATGTGCGTGGTGTGTATGCAAGCAATTTCACGCAATGTGAGTGTGCTCGTGTATGTGTGTATATGTGTGAGTGTATGTGTGTGTGCCCGCATTTGTGTGTTGTGTGTGGTTGACTGCCATATTTATACTCAACATCTGCCATAAATTTTAGGTCTGCAAACCCGTATTCATTGACACAGGTTGAGTCCCAGAGGGCACAGGACTAGGGTGCCTGAAGCACAGTGAGCAGATGTGTGTCGGGCATTGTAGAAGGTGTCCCCCCCCCCCCCCCCGTGCAGAGATAGAACACAGTGGACGTGAGGACACTGAGCACCAGCCCCTTTCTCTGTAAACAGCTAACAAGTGGTGGGAATGGAGCCTTTCCTGTACACTTCTGGGTTACCAAGTGGCCCTAGCTGGTGATGGCAAATTACCTTTTGTTGCAATCCAGCCAATGAATGCAGATTTAATAGAATTAGAAAATTACCATATTTTTTGCAACTTTTGAAGAAAGAATAAATTTACTGCAATCTTCAGTGGATCAAAGCAGAGGAGGGTGTTGGGTCCTTGGGAACTGGAGGCAGAGACAGTTGTGAACCAACGTGTGGGTGCTGACTATTAACCCTGGGCCTCTGGAAGAGCAGCCAGTGCTCCTAACTACTGGGCCACCTCTCCACCTCCTGGCACTTTATTTAAATGGTAGCTGAGGCTGATTCTATAGTAAAATGTACTCTACATTTGTGGAAACTTTATCTCTGTTGTTTCTGGAGTTCTCAAGAGAGTATAAAGATTTTATAGCCTTTGAAATTGAAATACAGGAACCAGAAGTGGATGAATAGGGAAATAGGACCTCAAACTTGTTCCAGTTTTATTTAGAGATAACCATGTATTAAATACTTGAGCCAGGGAAGGTGGTCACTGAAGCATTGTAGGCCAATGGGTGCGGCTGTCATTCCATTGTACAGACCTGACAACTGGGTCCAGAGAGGCTATCAACTTCCCTATAGTTGGTATCCAGCTTAATAACAGAGCCCATATAGGGTCTGGCCTCGGCCCTCATGCTCCCAGTCATTGGTTTCCTGCCTGTGGGATTGCTATTGCTGAAATTATATTGATAATCTCTTCTCTAGCTTTCCCACTGGGAAGGACTCCATCTCTTCTTCCAGAGGTTGGGTTTAATAAGGAAGGCTTGTTGGCTGCCTTGAGGAGAGCATCAGACGCTCTTTAAGGAGGGTCAACATTGCATATAGTAGTGGGGCAAATGGCTGTATCCAGGTCTCTGCAGGAGGTGATAAAGTTGTTTTGACCTGAAGTCAAGAGTGTTGAGTCCACTCATCTATAGAGAACACGAACTGTTCCTCCTGATGATAGTTTACACACAGATATTCAGTAAATTACACGTGGAGCTTAGATGGGCTCTTCCCCTCTCTTCCTTCTATACTAAAGCTACGAGGTCTCCCAGCTCAGTCTGTGCAGGGCAGCAGGAGCTCCATCAGTGAGCCCAGCTGGGAGCTTGCCACATAACCAGTGGGTGGCCCTTCTAGTGCCAATTGTGATATCTGAGCACAGCGCCACATGAGGTCCATTTTAAAAAGAATTGTGTGTGTGTGTGTGTGTGTGTGTGTGTGTGTGTGTTGCATTCACTTGCCATGGCATGTATGTGGAAGACAGAGACAACTTTTTGTTTGTTTGTTTGTTTGTTTGTTTTTTGAGACATGGTTTCTCTGTGTAACAGCCCTTGACTGTCCTGGAACTCACTCCGTAGTCCAGGCTGCCCTCAAACACAGAGATCCTCCTGCCTCTGCCTCTTGAGTGCTGGGATTAAAGGCATGCACTGCCATGCCTGGCTTAGAAGACAACTCTCAAGAGTCAGTACTCTCCTTTGCTATGATGCCTCAGGATTGAACACAGGCTGCGTCTGCTTCACCCCAATGCCTTACTCTGCAGAGTCATCCCCATGTCTCCCCTGAAGACATTTTTTGTGCAAGATGCCAAAATTCAGCTGAGGGTCACAAATAATTACGATAGGTAAAATGAGATTACTACAGTACAGGAGGGGGGGCTGCAATGTGGATGGTCTAGAGAGATGGATCAGGGGTTAAAAGGGTAGACTGTTCTTGTAGCTGACCCCAGTTCAGTTTGAGAACTCACATGGGGCTGTTCACAGTGGCCTGTCCCCTGCTTCTCTGTGGGATCTGCTGCCTCTGACCTCCAGGGCACCTCCACTCATGTCCACACACACACACACACACACACTTAAAAATAACAAAAATAAATGGAACTTCAGTGGAAGAGAGGCTGCACTGGCCTGTGGCTTCAGGAAAAGATCTGAGACAGGGTTGTCCAACCTATTCGTACTTGAACATGTCATCTGCAAAATTCACTCCTGTGACTGTTTAATCAAGTGGAAAAACTGAGATTTTTAAGCTGGACCTCAGCCATAGCTGTCTTCTCTAAGGAGAACTCATGGTCTTTCAGTGCCTGCTTCCTGAAGAGTGGAGACCTATGGGTGTTGTATGAGCACTGCCCGAGTAGCTTACTCCCAAAATAATCACACAGAAATTGTATTCATTAAATCACTGCCTGGCCCATTATCTCTAGCCTCTTATTGGCTAACTATGACATCTTGATTTAACCTATTTCTAATAATTTGTATCGTCACTTGACTATGGCTTACCGGCATGAGTCTAACCAGCGTCCGTCTCAGGCAGGAGAACCATGGTGTCTCCCTGACTCTGCTCTTCTTCCCAGCATTCTGTTCTGTCTTCCCTGCCTACCTGAGTTCCACCCTATCAACTAGGCCAAGGCAGTTTCTTTAATAACCAATGAAAGCAACACAAATACAGAAGGACCTCCTACACCATATGGGGTCAAGGATGGAGAAAATTTCCAGTGGCACCCACACAGAGGGAGGGAACTTTGATCTCCATGGTGGAAGAGCAGTTCTTACTGCTCGTCAGCAAGCACTTCTTAGCTTGACGCTTTGTGCTTTCTGCCGAGCGGCACCCTGTCAAACACAGATGTCTGTCAGAGTGTGTGTAGCCTGCACGCCGTGTTTACAGCTGCCGGCCACTTGTGCCAAGTGATGATCCTGGTTTCCCTGTTAAGCAATGATATGGAAATTTCTTTATAAATACACTTACTTAGCGAAGAAATTGATGGAAGGAAAAGATTACACAAATAATTTTACCCAGGGCTCCGGACTGTGCTAATGATATAAATGAGCCCACCGAGGAGTTTGCAAGAGTCTTGCAGAGACAGCAAGAGCGTGCCTGCCAGCTGGTCAAGGGCGGGGTGAAAGTGAGTTAGGGAGTGATGGGCACCATTTTGTGGGGGTGGGGTTTCCCTGCTTCTCAGTTCTAAGTCTAGGAGTTCAAAGTTCGCCTCAGATTCTACCAGCCTCAAACTTTTATAGACTTGTCAATAACTGTGATATTTGGGAACTGCCATTTTTTACGTTTTACCTGAATCTTTGTGCGTGTGTTTCGGTAGATCCGAGGAGAAAATCAAGCACTTCAGTCAGCTGAAATCTGAACTTTTTCTTCAAGACAACACTCTGAGGAAGATTCTGAGTTTAATCACGGAACTTAGAATAGCAGCCCAGAGAAATTTTATCCTAAAAAGACTTTTCTGGAAAGTAAGTATCTTGTTCCTCATCTTTAAAACTTGTTTTATCTGGTTATCAAATTTAAGTGCAAATCAAAGTAGAAATGCAAGTTGTATTCTGATGTTGTATTTTAAAAATGTCGATTATATTTAATGTAGTCATGTTTTAATATGTAAAATTTTGTGAAACAATTGATAATATGTTTGCATATGGGGGACAATAGAATGAAATGGAGCCACTGTACAAAGTGACTGAAGCAGGCTGCTTAGTATTGTCCAAGGAGAGGTGGTAGAGGGAAGTTTTGGTATGTGTGATGGAGGAAAAGGAGAGTTTAACAAATTTTTCTTTAGTAGGAATATATATTTTAAAAATGCTTTTAAATACAGGATTGGTATTTTTTTATAAAAAAAAAATGTGATCCCAGGAAATCCCAGTAGCTTGATTCTCACAAGGTAAGTTAAAAGTGCTTCGTTCTCAGTTATGATTGGAAGGTGTTAAGATGTCACAGCGATAAATGGTGAGTGTGCATAAGGCCACCGCAGCGCCCCTGGCCACACATGTCACACACACACACACACCCCCCCCCGCCGCCTTCTTAATGAACAGCCGTGAATTACACAAATACTCAGCCATTCAAGCAGTGAACGTGACTTCACTGTGAGGTGCTGTGTATGCAGGGGAATAGCCAACTTGGTTTTCCAGATGAGAGAAGCCTGCTGTCTTAGTGTGGGTGGGTCTAAGGATGTCCCTGGGACATGGGTTATCTGGGACAGCCTCAGGCAACTCAAGGTGGCCAACTACCCCAATGATATGAGAAACAGCTAGAGAATAGCAGGTCAGTGTACGGCAGCAGGGCAAGGGGATTGCGCTGACTCTAAAATGGTCAAGAGTCATAGATCCTATTAGGAACACACCATGCACACTTTGACTCTAAGACTTCACAGGGTTGTGAGGAAATACAGAGGTAGACACTAGGCACTGAAATAACCAAGGATGTTGATTATGAAAATGGAATTCATACAGAAAAGCTAAGGGAATTGGATTTTCTCCTACCCAAGGAAACTGCAGACGCCCCCGCCTGTGTACTGTCAATTTAATCTATCCTAATCATATAGATTTGTTTGCTCAAAGACCTTCTGTAGACTTCCTTATGACACACAAACACATGACTATAGTATCTAAAAGGGCCTTTGTTTTTAGCAGGGCAGGGTAATCAGCGGGAGCCATGATCTGGCTAGGAAAGGTGCTCAGGGAACTGATCCAGCCGTCGCTTCTCCTAAGAAGGGTTAGAGCCCACGAGTGAGAGTCACCTCTAAAGAGGAGTGGGCAAACTGAGATGGAAGCTCAGTGCCCCGTCAAATCACCCTTGAGCATCAAGTCATCACTTAGTACCATGAGGTCCCGCTTGGTGAGGGTGCAGAAGCAGGTTCTCCAGGGAACGACACAGAAGATTGTCAAATGTAGAACCAGACACTCGAAGAGGACTGGTCGGCAGAGCCCAGAGAAGCGTGCTAGGACAACCGGAATGCAGGATTTGAAGTGGGGTTTTAAGTAGGAGGACGCATACTGCCTGGGGTTGGATAGGAGAAAGTGTGTAGCTATTGGCAGTGCTGGCCTGGCCATTTAAACACCTCCAGTTTAAAAGCAGGCCTGATCAGTAGGTGGCACTGTCGTGAAGCGGAAAGATGTCAGAGAAAGGGTGAGGACAGGCTGAGCTCATCCAAGCCAACCTTTATCTCTCCACCTATTTTTTGTTTGTTTGTTTTGCTTTGCTTTTTGTTTTTTGAGACAGGGTTTCACTGTGTAGCTTTGGAGCCTGTCCTGGAACTAGCTTTGTAGACTAGGCTGGCCTTGAACTTACAGAGATCCACCTGCCTCTGCCTCGGCCTCAGCCAAGTGCTGGAATTAAAGGTGTGCACCACCACCACCCTGAGCTGGGTGTGATGACTTGAACACCAGGTAGTATTCTCCGGTCCCATCCTTTCCTCTGTTCTTTTTGTAGTACGTGTCTTCCATTTTTCCCCCTCAGTAAAGGCCGATCTGTCCTGCAAGGCTCTGCTCAGTTGCCATTGTTCTCTTCCCCGTTTTCCCCAGTGAGGAGCCGGGTACCTTGTTCCTTTTGGTTTCTGGACCTAGTCTGTGCCCATGACTCTTTGCTGTTTCTAGTCTGTGGGGCCCAGTTCAGGAGACACCATCTGCTCTTGGAGGTGGCCAAGGACAGAGGTAGTAGAATTTTAACTTTAGTTAATTTAAATAGCCCCCATGGCCAGTGGCTACCATGATGGGGATTGACAATTTCCAGCATCGCCCACAGCATTTAATAACACAGCAAACATTTATTATATTCCTAATCAGTGCGAGACAAGGTCACAGGCGTTAGACATGGGAGTGGGGTTAAGACAGGGTTCCTATCCTCAAGAATCAAGCATGGTTACACTAGCGGTTGGCTCAGGTGCCTACCACAGCATGCTCGGGCCCAACACAATGCATGCATATGCCATCTTGGAAGCAGTTTTTATTAAATAGAACTCTTATTCTCTTGTGACAAGTTAGTCTGTTCTGAAATTTAGGACGGAAACCACCCATTTCATGTCTCACACTTGAAAAGCCTAGCCATTCTTCAGCATAGTGCCAGTAGCTGGACTAGAGAGACTTTAAATTCAGCTTGTGGAACATGGGTTATGTGGAGAGAGGACACACACAGAGGGCACACAGTCTTCGCATGCTTTCGTGGCTCCTCTGTGGTCCTGACCATACAAATCCGTGGACATCCCAGAGTTTTATCTTTGCTGTCTCTCTTTGACATAACGCAAATCAGTGCCCATGTTCATTACACAAAGTTGGCATCTATGGCTAAGGAGACAACGTCCTCAAATCCTTTCAGGAGGATTAACCTTTCTATTTCAAAGATTATACTTCATGGCCCCAGCTAAAGCCCTGGCTTTACCAGAGCCTGGGCAACATCCCCTAGAGCTCACACAGAAGTAGGGAGAGTAGTCGTACATCCAATTTTTGGTTCTGGGCAAGAAAATCAAGATTTACATCTCCATTTCTTCTTTAAAAATCAACTTTGTGGGGCAGGAGAGATGGTGCGGCAGTTAGGAGAGAACACTGATCGTGCAGAGGGCTGGAGTTCAGACCTCAGCCCCCACATGTGTCTTTACCTCCAGGGACTCTGACGCCCTATTCCGACCTCCCCAGCCAGCCCGTGCCACCATCTAAATAGTGTAAGTTGTCTCTAGTCTCCACAGGCTCAGGGAGACAGTGAACAACGGGACGAGAAAGGAGCCATTGCACACTTCTTGTATCGACTTGTCTGGTTTTATATACGGCACTAATGTTCGTGCTTAGCTCGTGAACTTGAATAGGAACACAGAAACGCGAGTTTCTCAAACGTAAGCGTTTGTTTGGATAAAAATGACAATCTGTATTTCAAAGGCAGCATCAGAGGCGTTCGTCTGCTCCCCACTGCTTTTACTGGCTATTCTCACACCGTCATCACACAGCACATTCGGTTTAGTGTTGTTCAGCGCTGTTCACGGCCTCACAATGACTTCCCACTTACTTCTGGATGACCTTCATCAGTGCCTGGGCCAGGACGAACTGAAGTCCCCTGGATCTTGATGTCCCACCTGGATGGCAGTGAGCGAAAAAATATGTTTTCTGGGCTGGAGAGATGGCTCAGTGGTTAAGAGCATTGCCTGCTCTTCCAAAGGTCCTGAGTTCAATTCCTGGCAACCACATGGTAGCTCACAACCATCTGTAATGAGGTCTGGTACCCTCTTCTGGCCTGCAGACATACACACAGACAGGATATTGAATACATAATAAATAAGTAAATAAATATTAAAAAATGTTTTCTGTTTGAATTCTGCTAGTGTTAAAGAAACTGTTGTAAGTCTCTTCCTGAATCGAAGAGATGATTTCATTGTCCTTTTATGTGTGGACGGAGCTTTAACTGGCATCTTCATTATTTCCTTCCCCTCTCTTGCAGACCAGTGAGCTTTTCTACTTTCTAGTGAACAAACTTCATGAGTATTTGCCAGAGTCTCGGAATAAAACTGCACTTCAAAATAAAAGCCAAAGGGCCAATGAGCTGGTGTAAGTACGAAGCACACAATCGGCTATTAGCCCTGTAAGGCAGAGGTTCTCAACCTGTGTGTCGTGACCTCTTTGGGGCTACATATCAGGTGTTTACACTATGATTCATAACAGTAGCAAAATTATAGTTATAAAGTGGCAATAAAATAGGTTTTTGGTTGGGGGTCACCACAACGTGAGGATTATTAAAGGATTGCCACATGGAAGGTTGAGAACCAGCGTTGTGAGGTGTTAAAGATAACGGAAGATACTAGACGAAATATATGCACTATAGTATATAGTTAGTAGTGCTTCAACTTTTGCTTCACATAGATTTTTAAATTTCAAAAGTTTTTCTTTATTGTTATTTGATTTTTTTTGAATCCGGTCTTGCAATCGGAACCACCCTAGAACTTACTACATAGACAGGCTGGTCTCAAACCTCTGCTTCCCAAATGTTAGGACCCTAGACACTGCACCATGCCATACTCTCACGTGAATTTAAAAATTTTCAGCGCATACACAAGAAATCAGTAATAGTGACTGCTCCCAAATGGGGAAATAGCTACCTTGAGACAGATATATTTACCTACTGAAAAAAATGAACTGTAGGGGCTGGAGGTGTGGCTCAGTGGCTAAGAGCACAACCTGCTCTTAAGAGGACCCAAGTTCAATTCTCAGCTCCTGCGTCTGGCAACTCACACCCTGCAACTCCAGCTCCCAGGGATCCAATGCTCCTGGCCTCTGTGGGCACCTGCCCTCGTGTGCACAGGCCTACATTCAGGTATACACATGCAAATACTTGAAAATAGATCACTGGAAAAATATGCATTCAAAAATACTTAGGCCTGTGCCTTGATCCTGATGTGAAGCTCTTAGTCAGTAGGCACATTTTGATCATCTCCTACGTAGCAGCCCCAGACTGGGTATGTAGCCAGGGCTGGCAATCAGACATGCAGAACTCGATGCTCTTTGGCTCAGAAGTATCTGAAAGCAGCTCTCTCAAGGCTTACTGCTTTTGTGGGATTCTGACCTTGGGGAACCGTGCCGTTTTCATTGCTTGTGTTTTCTCTTATTTCCTAGGGCATGTATTGAAATTATACAGACCCTAGGACTGATGTTCAGAGAAACAGAAATTGAATCATCACGATTGAGCACACTGGCAGCTAAGAAGTAAGGGTGTGTGTTGTTGTTGTTGTTGTTTTGTGTTTTAAGAAGACTTTGGGATGATGTAGTCTCTGCCATTGCTCTTAATGATTGGCACATGAACCGGGAAGAGTGTATTCTAAAATAGAGTGTAATATATCTAAAATCCATATGTTATAAATAATAATAAAAACACTCTGAATAATAAACCCATTCAATTGTTGGGATGGTCTGCTGTCAATCCTAGGAGTCTCTATTCTGGATGAAGCTACAGTTTGACCAGAACTGTTGTCCCAGAGAGTTTTAAATTAAGTCAGTTGTTAGAAGAGGTGGATTTCAAATTAAATTCCATTTGAGGAAATAAAGAAGACGTGTTCATTTTCCATTTCCTCTTTCTGTTTCCCAGAGTGGAAACTTCGTTAGTTCAACAACCCACCTTGCTGCAGTCTTGAAATGAGCCATGTTCTTTTGTATTTTGGTATTATCGTAGTCGGATTTATATATTATCACAGCAAGTGACCTAGAACTTTAGAGTTCTTTCTCTTAGATTTGAAAAGAGACTGTTAGTGAAAGTAAAGGCTATACTTAAATAGAGCAGAGAACAGAGCGCCATTCCAAACACCACATCCAGAGGAAGCTTTAAGAAGGATGTTCTGGAACTGAGGTGATGCTTGCTGGATAAGAGAGCTTGCTGGGACAGTGTTGGAACCTGGGTACAAATCCCAGAACTGACATAAAAGGCCCGGCAAGGCCGTGCTTCCCCATCACCCCAGTGCGGGGCTGAGGAGGGGAGAGAAGGGAAGGCTGCTGTGGCCTGCCGACAGTCAACCTAGCTCCAAGTTCCGTGAGAGACCATGTTTGAAGGAGTAAGAGAGAAGGTGGTAGACTATAAGGTAGCCGACTCCCTCCTCTGCCCACCACATGCATGAACACAGGAACACACCCAAGCACACTAGTGCAGGTACAACACACACCAACACAAACTCACAGAGGAGTAACAGAAATAAAAAAGGATCGTTCTTTTGATCGGGAAAGTCACAAAAGTGAGTTTATGATTTCCTCACGTGCCTACACTGGTATGACACCGTGTAGTTCAGGACAACTGTCAACTGGCCCTCCTGTCTTGATGCCCTCTAGGGCTCAGACTGTAGGCACTGCCTTAATGCCCAGTTTACTCAGTGCTGATGGTCACACCCAGGGCCTGTGATAAAAAGGCACTCTGACAATTGAATTACACTCCCTGCCCCAAGACCAGCCATTTTGAACAGCACAGATGAAACAGTAGATATTATGAATGATCTATGCTACATCGTGTGTGTGTTTAGAAATACCGTGCACATTAAGAATCGGACTAGCTTTTTGAGTTGGAAAACAGGAGAACTGTTTTTTTCTAGGATTTTGGTTGACTATGGGCTGCTAATCACCTTTTTTTATTGTTTCAATTAAAAAAAACTGTATATTTATCTCTGTTCTGCTCACTTCCTCCCCCCCTCCTACCCTCTCCCATGGTCTCCATGCTCCCCCTTTACTCAGGAGATCTTGTCTTTTTCTACTTCCCATGTTGATTAGATCCACGTACATCTCTCTTAGGGTCCTCATTGTTGTCTAGGTTCTCTGGGGTTGTGAACTGCAGGCTGGTTTTTCTTTGCTTTATGTCTAAAAACCACTTATAAGTGAGAACATATGATAATTGTCTTTCTGGGTCTGGGTTACCTCACTCAGTATGATGTTTTCTAGAGCCATTCATTTGCCTGCAAATTTCAAGATATCATTATTTTTTTCTGCTGTGTAGTACTCCATTTTGTAAATGTCCCATATCTTCCTTATCCATTCTTCGGTCGAGGGGCATTTAGGTTGTTTCCAGGTTCTGGCTATGACAAACAATGCTGCTATGAACATAGTTGAACACATGTCCTTGTGGTATAATGGAACACCTTTGGGTATATACCCAAAGGTGGTATTACTGGGTCTTGAGGAAGGTTGTTTCCTAATTTTCTGAGAAATCACCACACTGACATCCAAAGGGGCTGTACTAGCTTGCACTCCCACCAGCAATGCAGAAGTGTTCCCTTTACTCCACATCCTCTCCAGCATAAGTTGTCATCAGTGTTTTTGATCTTGGCCATTCTTACAGGGGTAAGATGGAATCTCAGAGTTGTTTTGATTTGCATTTCTCTGATGACTAAGGATGCTGAACATTTCCTTAAGTGTCTTTCAGTCATTTTAGATTCCTCTGTTGAGAGTTCTGTTTGGGTCTGTACCCTATTTTTTTTATTGGATTGTTTGTTCTTTTGATGACCAATTACTTGAGTTCTTTGTATATTTTGGAGATCAGCCTTCTTTCCTATGTGGGGTTGGTGAAGATCTTTTCCCATTCTGTAGGTTGCCATTTTGTCTTGTTGACTGTGTCCTTTGCTTTACAGAAGCTTCTCAGTTTCACGAGGTTCCATTTATTAATTGTTCTCTCAGAGTCTGTGCTGCTGGGATTCTATTTAGGAAGTGGTCTCCAGTGCCAATGCATTCAAGTGTACTTCCCACTTTCTCTTCTATGAGGTTCAGTATGGTTGGTTTTATGTTGAGGTCTTTGATCCATTTGGACTTGAGTTTTGTGCATGATGATAGATATGGGTCTATTTTAATTCTTCTACATGTTGATATCCAGTTATGCCAGCACCATTTGTTGAATGTGCTTTCTTTTTTCCATTTTATATTTTTTGCTTCTTTATCAAAAATCAGGTGTTCATAGGTGTGTGGATTGATATCTGGGTCTTCAATTTGTTTCCATTGGTCCTCCTGTCTGTTCTTATGCCAGTGCCAGACTGTTTTTATTACTGTAGCTTTGTAGTAGAGTTTGAAGTCAGGGATTGTGATGCCTCCAGAAGTTCTTTTATTGTACAGGATTGTTTTGGCTATCCTGGGTTTTTTGTTTTTCCATATGAAGTTAAGTACTGGTTTTTTTTTTTTTGAGGTCTGTGAAGAATTTTTCTGGGATATTGATGGGCATTGCATTGAATCTGTAGATTGCTTTTGGCAAGATTGCCATTTTTACTATGTTAATTCTACCTACCCAAGAGCATGGGTGATCTTTCCACTTTCTGGTATCTTCTTCAATTCTTTCTTCAAAGATTTAAAGTTCTTGTCATATAGGTCTTCTACTTGTTTGATTAGAGTTACTCTGAGATATTTTATGCTATTTGTGGCTATTGTGAAGGGTGATTTTTCTCTGATTTTCTTTCCCAGCCCTTTTATCATCTGTGTACAGGAGGGTCACTGATATTTTTTAGTTAATCTTTTATCCTGATATATTACTGAAAGTGTTTATGATTTGTAGAAGTTCCTTGGTAGAACTTTTGGGGTCGCTTATGTAAACTGTCATATCATCAGCAAATAGTGAGAGTTTGACTTTTTCTTTTTCTGATTTGTATCCCTTTTATCTCCTTTTGGTGTTTTATTGCTCTAGCTAGAACCTCAAGAACTATATTGAATAGATATGGAGGACAACGTTGTCTTGTTCCTGATTTTAGTGGGATCTCTTTGAGTTTCTTTCCATTTAGTTTGATGTTGGCTTACTGTATATTGCCTTTATTATGTTTAGGTATGTTCCTTGTATCCCTATTCTCTCCAGGACCTTTATCATGAAGGGATGTTGTATTTTGTCAAAGGCTTTTTCAACACTTAATGAGATGATCATGTGGTTTATTTTTTTTTCAGTTTGTTTATATAGTGGATTACATTGACATATTTTTGTATGTTGAACCATCCCTGCATCTCTGGGATGAAGCTCAGTTGATCATAGTGGATGATTTTTCTGATGTGTTCTTGGATTTGGTTTGCCAGTATTTTATTGAGTATTTTTGGATCAATGTTCATGAGTGAGATTGGTCTGTAATTCTCTTTCTTAGTAATGTCTTTCTGTGGTTTGGGTGTCAGGGTAATTGTAGCCTCATAAAAAGAGTTTGGCAATGTTTTTTTTTGTTTCTATTATGTAGAACAGTTTGAGGAGTATTGGTATTAGTTCTTCTTTGAAAATCTTGTAGAATTCTGAGCTGAAACCATCTGGCCCTGGACTTTTTTGGGTTGGGAGACTTTTGATGACTGTTCTATTTCTTTAGCAGTTATAGATCTATTCAATTTGCTTATCTGGTCTTTATTTAATTTTGATAAGTGATATTTATCCAGAAAATTGTCCTTCTCCTTTAAGTTTTCCAAATTTGTGGAGTACAGGTTTTTGAAATATGACCTAATAATTCTCTAGATTTCCTCCGTGTCTGTTGTTATGCCCCCCTTTCCGTTTTTGACTTTGTTATTTTGAATGTTTTCTCTCTGCCTTTTGATTAGTTTGGATAAAGGTTTGTCTATTTGTTGAATTTCTTGAAGAACCAATTCTTTGTTTCAATTCTTTGTTTTGTTTTCTTTGTTTCTATTTTGTTGTTTCAGCTTGCAATTTGATTATTTCCTACCATCTAGTCCTTCTGGGTGAGTTCGCTTCTTTTTGTTCTAAAGTTTTCAGTTGTTCTGTTAATTCACTAGTGTGGGATTCTTCCAGCTTCTTCATGTAGGCATTTAGTGCTATGAAGCTTTTTAACACTGCTTTCATTGTGTCCCATAAATTTGGGTATGTTGTGTGGTCATTTTCATTGAATTTTAGGAAGTCTTTAATTTCTTCCTTTATTTCTTCCTTGATTCATTGGTGATTCAGGAAAGCGTTGTTTAATTTCCATGTGTTTGTGGGCTTTCTGGAATTAGTGTTGCTGCTGTAGTCTAATTTTAAGTCATGGTGATCTGATAAGATATATGTGGTTATTTTTTTTGTATCTGTTGAGGTTTTCTTTGTTACCTAGTATGTGGTCAATTTTTGAGAAGGTTCCATGAGGTGCTGAGAAGAAGGTATATTCTTTTATGTTTGAATGGAATATTCTTTGATATCTGTTAAGTCCATTTGAGTCATAACATTGGTTAGTTTCCCTATTTCTCTGCTAATTTTCTGTTTGACAGGCCTGTCCAGTGGTGAGAGTGGGGTGTTGAAG